TAACAAATGAATTTCGAGGGTACACTGTTGTGAAGCAGATTAAATGAGTAACTGAATAAATACTCAAATAAATAAGCAAATAAACAAATAAATAGATAAGGTAGTAAAAAATAACAAATACATATGTAGTAATAAATAATAGTTAATAAAGTCATCCATTCAAATTGCAAGTTATAGTATTATAATAGACAAGCTCGACAGTTCCAAAAATACTACGCAGTTCGAAGTATGGGCACAATTCTAAACGGTGCTTGATGCACGGCTCATCCCAGAAAACTAGCAGTTTTTTCTCTTCTGATTATTTCAAATGGAAGCAGAGCATTATCAGCCGTTTCCCATGGGTATTCTTTGAAATACGCCCAACTTCCCCTTTCCGCATTCTCTAGCGGCCAAACGTCAGACGATAGTGATATAGACAAAGATCACTCTTGAGCGGAAACCCGCTGCAACTGACGGCGAAAAACTAATCAGGGCTTAACTAATTATATCTTGCGCAAGCTCTTATTGAAGAATACGAAGCAACTGCTGATTACTTAGCCAAAAAACGAAATAGCACCAAGATGGACTCCATAATTGGTANTGCAATCACTTCTTTCTCTCCCTCAGTGAGTGTCTGTTCAACTTGGTAACGTGGTCCCTTTCCGGACCGATTCACACCTTCTCAAAGAAGTCCAACCTCCTGAATCAAGCTGATGGCCAGGATGAAAGTCTCCGCAAAATATTAAACCGGCGCTCTCTTGGGACTACTTTAGGTCGTTTAGGTACGGCAATGATGAAGCCATATGTGAAAAGGATTGGCCATTTAAGCGACTCACTGTCACCCATCAAAATACGGAGGTCCTTTATATTTTTGTTAATGAAAGTATAAGTAAGTAAATCAATCGGACCAACCTAATCCTAGCAGAGGCATTTCTACTCCATTGGACAGTGAAACGGTAGGAATCGGATCGGATGAAGACGACGCTTCCGGCTCGCGATCGCAAACTTCATCATAGTATCGTTCAGACGTCAAAAGGGCTGAAAGTCTTCGAATGGAATTAACCAGTTCAACGATGATTCAGAAAGACTTACCTTTTTTGAAACTGCCATATGAAGGGAACGATCGAACCATTCTGAAATTAAATCCGAAAATGTAAAAGTAACTAATGTTGAGTGTAGTAATAATGAGAACGAGTGAAACAAATACCATTGAAAACATCATCATATGACAAGTGGACATATGCTCATCTTCCTGGAGGAGGAAGGGGGAATATTCTTTGAAAATATTGTTCAAAAAAGATGGCGGTTGCAGCAATAGGTGTAGGGTGTATGCATGTTCCCAGAAAGCTAGATGTGGACCATCACTACAACTTTTTAGAAGAGTTCTTCCATTGGTATCTAGGGAGGCCACGTAACTTAGGTTAAAAGTTCGGATATGAACGGGACTCGAACCCAAACTTGTGCAATCCTGGCACTGTGCTCCTCCTATCAATTACACTACCTATACCCCGCTTGGACTTGGCTGAGCTTGAGCCAGGTTGAATTACTTGTTGGATTCACTGAAGTGCTACCATCAGCCCACGGTACCTCTTGATAATCTCGCTTCTTNTACTGACGGCCAGTCTTCAATGAAAAAGCTAAGGGAGAGCTGATTTCAGAAGAAGAAAGAAGATCGGAGGGAAAAGGCCGGTTTTGTTTCATAGAAATTCTGCGAATTTAACGACCTGGCCGAGTTTTTCTTTTCAATCGAACGGTGGAGACGCCACCAGTATTCAACAAATTCATGAACAGAGAAGAGTCAATACTGGAGAAAAAGGAGCTACATTACATGTCCCAGTCCTTGGGCTTTATGGAAAAGCAAATAATTTTCAAACGGAAAATCAGTTTTCATCTGGAAAAGAGGCATTGTATGCATGGTTATCATCGGATAACAGATATAGCGGTTAAAATGATTGATTGGTTCGACATAAACATAATCTCAGTCAACACTGAGGAAGCCATCAACATACGAGAGGGCCAAATAGCCAAGAAAAACGATCAGAATCTTTGCTGGTGACGTTGGGCGCGACAGATCACAATTCGAAATGAAACACGAAAGATGAACGCAGACGATTAATTAGCAAAAGAATCCCAAAAGGGCGATTTCGTTGCAGCCAGCCCAGTCGATGATGACTAAGTGGAATGCACTTTGGATGAACGGTGTTTAAGGGAGTTGCTAGGACACACCGCATTCCACAGGCGGCCGTCTGGCGAAAGACGGCAGTGGGCGGTCTGACCTCCCCGTCTTCTCCCCGCCCACCACCCATTCCACTGACGTT